TGCCTATCGTTTAGCCTTGCCGTCGTAGTTGTCCGGAGTGCATGACGTGTTTCATGTGAGTATGCTTTGGAAGTATGAGCCAGATCCGTCCCATGTATTAGATTGGACCGATTTAGAGGTAGATGAGGATGCCTCATATGAGGAGAGACAGGTGCAGGTCTTGGAGAGACGGGACCAAGTCCTGCGTGGAAAGACCATTCCTTTGGTGAAGGTTTTGTGGAAGCATCACGGAGTGGAGGAAGCCACTTGGGAACGTGAGTTGGAGGTCCGCGAGAATTATCCGGACTTGTTTATTGACGTGTAATCTTGTATTTAAATTTTGTAAGGTTGTTGGACTTAAGAGTTTTATATATGTCTTAAGTTGTAAAACATTGATAATGTTTTGGTTTAATGGAAGTATGTTGTAAAACTTACCTTGGTATGGGAGTTGATTATGATATTGCATATGTTGGCTATATTGTAGAATTGGAGTTATATCATGTATATTGATTATGATATGAACTGTGAACCATGTATGTTGGAAATGGTTGGAAATGGAAGAAAATTGCATGTTGATAATGCGCTTGTAATATATGTTGTGAAATGCCTCTTGAAAAGAGATGGGATTGACCGGTAATGGGTAGGGTTGTTTAATATTATGTTGTAATATTGTTGAGAGTGGAGAAAACCTGTTTTTGAAAAACTTGTGTTTAATTTCGGGGACGAAATTCTTTAAGGGGGGAAGGTTATAGCGATCCCGGTTGTCCCTTTACTGTTCTGTTGTATTCCGGGCTCAGTTCCGTGAAATTGGTAATGGTATCTATCTTGTTGCCGTCCTTTAATTCCACTTGATTGAGTTTTAGGATGTTTTGAGCAGGGTTGTTACAGGCTGGGTAGGCCTTGGGTTCAATTCCTTGTTGTCCAGTTTTTAGGCGATCCGCTCGAGCGGGTCTTCTTGCGCTCGAGCGGGGATTGCACACCTCCAGTATTTCGTGTTCCTGCAAAACTTCTGCAGATGTGATTTTTATGCTCGAGCGGAAGCGCTCGAGCGGGTCTGTTGGCGCTCGAGCGGGTAGTACTTTCTGGGTATAAGTTCTGGGAGGCGGAAATCTACGCTCGAGCAGACAGGTTTTCGCGCTCGAGCGGAAGTGCTTTATTCTTGTGTCTTGAAGCTCGAGCGGGACTTATTGCGCTCGAGCGTGTCCAAATTTTTGTTCTTGGCGCTCGAGCGTTGTGTTCTCCGCTCGAGCGGGTCATGCGTATATGAGTTATCCGCTGGGTGATTTTAAATCACTTTTTACTTTCCTTTCTCTCTCCTACTTTTTCTAAAACCCATTTTGAGAGCTCCTCTCTCTAAAACCTTGACTTCTCTCTAGGTATTGATCTAGTAGGAGTGATTTCCTCACCTTTGGCCTTTACAAAAAAGTTGTTGATCGTCGAGGGCTATCTTTTGATCCGAGAAATTTGTGGGTTGGAGCATTTTCGTCTTCTTCACCTTCTTGGTTGGGAGTCATTTTTTGAGATAGGGATAACCTACTCCTCACTATGGGCTTTGTCTTTAAATTTTAGTATTTTGAGATGTTGGGGTTGGTTTGGTAATTTGTGAAAGTTTGGGGCTTTTGTGTAAATTTACAAAAGTTGGGGTGTTAGCTATATAAAACCTAGATGTATGTTTGGCTTGGAAAGGTGAAATTAATGTTAAAACATTAATGAAAATGAAACCTAAGGGTTGTGATGTTAATTATGGAAAATGCCCTAATTACATTGATTGATTAATTTGTATAATTAATTGTTGGTAATGAGGGATTGATTTGAAAATGTGGAAATTGGAAAG